CGGCTTGAAGGGTGAGGCAACCGTTGTACTGTAAAAACTGAGACCTTAGAACTCATGTCTCAAGGTAGGTGGCGGCATTTACATCGTTGATGTTTATGGGCTCCGGTTACCACTTAACACTGGGTGGGCCACTCGTCTATTCATCTAAGTAGAAAAAAAATATGTTTTCATTTATTAAATGAACGGACGACATTGATAAAGGGAGGAAAGGAGAACCACGGAAGTGATGATGCCAGCACTTCGAAAATAATTGGTATTTTTAATTAACTATTCAAAAATAGCTGCATTGAAAAATAAGAAATAAATGTTAATCAGTTTCATTGGTCTTTTTTCAAATACAAATAAATAAATCGCTATTAACATTTTATTCATCAATGCAAATTGCCAATATGGATTATTCTTAATTATTTTTCAATAATAAATTAAAACAGATAAAATTTCCTTTGCCAACATCCAATGTTTAGATTCCCCGAATTTCCAAATAAATACTTCTTCGTTATATTCTCATAAATACTAGAGCGACAAAACACGTGATACTCCTGATACTGTACACAATACACATGTAATCGCTTGATTGTCGAAGGGGATAACACACGTCCACGAAACTTGGGTCCAATCAATCATCCGTAATTCAATATTTGTCATCGCTCGTGTAATTGAGAGCTGATTAATGATAGGACATAAATGTTTGGCCAAATGTTTGTCGAACGCGACCAATAGAGGCTGTGTCTCCTGTTTTATGTGACGTTACTCAAACGCCATTTTTGATTGAGATAGTTACTTTTTTTAAGGTAGGATAATAATACCTATCGGGTGTGTGATATATAAAGGAAAATAAATACAACTACAGTCAAACCTCGGTAAGTGAGAACTGGATAAGTGAGAAAACTCTATAAGTGAGAGTAATAGCCAGAACCCGTAATTTTAAGCTCCCAAGCTTCTATTAGCGAGAAACAGAAATCTCTGTAAGAGAGTCGTTTTTCCCTCATGGACCTCCGTAAGTGAGACTACTACTTGTCTATACCTATATAAGCGACAGTCGAGCTTTATTTATTTATATTATTTAAGAGGAACAAATGACAAAACAAATTACAAATTTAACATCTGCTATTTTATGACTCATTCTTAACTTTTGTGGAACTTCCTACCATTGTTTTTGTATTATTTTCTCGTCAGTATTGAACCTATTCTATTTCGTGGAACTAAATAACGTTGTTATTTTATCACATTATTTTCGAATGGACACGTGTGCCTTTGTACCGTCCTGTTTGTCGGACTTACTCAGTTTATCGTTAATCAATTGCGAAGGAAAGTTCTGTTCTGCATCATGTCAAAACGGAAAATTACTGTCACGAAGTGATAAACTTAAAATAGTGAATGCGTTTGAATCCAGAAAATCGCGAAATGAAATTCAGAGGGAGCATTAGCGAGAAACTCGGGTTAGTGAGAAACCTTTATAAGCGAGAATGAGATTGTGCTCCCTTGAACTCTCGCTTATCCAGGTTTGACTGTATATGACACCATTTTAATAAAGTTACCATGTATGTTTTACAGCTATAAGGTGTGCTGTATTGGTACAGTATACCGAACATACTCGTAGGCTATACCGAATCGATTTTGTGGAATTTTTTCGTGGATATGTTGGCGGGTTCCAGACTAGTTTGAATACACAAATGGACCCAATAAGTAGCAATGCGATTGGATTCCAAGATTTTTTATTTTCAAGCCAGACCAATGTTTGCGGCTCTACACATATATCTACATAGAGAAATATAAATATACATTTTATTTATTGCTTAGGTTGATGGACGAGCTCACGGCCCATTTGATATTAAGTGGTTACCGAATCCCATAGACATCTTCAGCGTAAATGCCTCCCTTCAAAACGAAACGCATTACTGCTTGACAGCAGAAATAGGCAGTGTGGTGGTACCTACTCGTGCGGACTCGCAAGACGTTCTACCACCAGTAAATACGCAAATTATAATTTTGCGAGTTTGATTTTATTACAAGACATTATTTTTTCATCGAAATCAATCGTGAACAATTGCTAAGTACGTATTTCATTAGAAAAATTGGTACCCGCCTGCGGCATTCGAACACCGGTGCATCACAAGATATAAATGTATCGAGCATCTTATTCTTTAGGCCATGTATTTAGCCATTGAATGTATATTACATATCTATAAAGGAATGGATTATTTACAAAATTATAAATGTTATTCAAATTTAACCACGGGATTTTATTATGAGTAGATACTGATCAAATCAAATCAAATCAATTCTGATCGTTGTAGGGGAGAAATGACTATCGGGAAGGAGTTAGATACTAAAGGAAGAGGACTACTTCTTCTGGTTCACTAGAAGTCGTCACGGTAATGACGATGCTAAATAAAGAAAGCTTTCATCGTCATACATGAATGTAAATTGAAAACTTTGAATAATCAATTATATATTTAAAATTGAGCTTTAAGCTAACATCGGGAATGTGTGCCAGTTTAATGGAATTATGCCGTAAAGCTTTCAATTCGTAGAACGTATGCCGTGTACGAGTAAATTAAGGAAACATGGCATTAGCATTTTAGACGGAATAAGGCGCGGACAGAGCACACACAGCGCAGTGAAGTCAGTGGATCAACTTTATTTGTACATTAAGCAACGGTACTCCAGTAGGTAACAATTTTATCATTACGCTACGCTATGTACCTAAGTCTTGAGAAACACTTCTGTGGTGAGTGTTTTAAAATGAAATCAATCAAACTTGAAATTTGTAATTCAATTGTTACATTTATGTATGAGTGAATCGTGTTTGTGAGCCCATACGTGAATTTGAAGTGTGCTTAGTAGAAGTTACTCCAACATAGTTAGAAAGCCAACTTCACATTTCAAAGGTTAATAGTGGGATTCGGAATTAAAATCGTTTTTACGATTTAATCTTGCTCATTTATTTTAAATATGTTGGGTCTTTTTAATATAGTAATATAATTTTTTATTAGGGCTACGAGTCACCAAAACAAAAAAAAACGATTACTGTGCTTTTCATCTTTTAGTCTCGGGTAACTTATTTTATTACCACGCGAACTATTTATTTAAAGAATTAAAAATACAAATCGAATTTGCAGTGCAGTATTCTCAACACTAAGCGAGGAAAGTGAAAACACTTAAAAAAATAAAATAGCCTACGGCTGATAAATATACTGTGTAAATTGTCTTCTAAAAGGAAATTTCTTAACAAATCCCAATTAATGGAAATCTTAGAAACAGTTTCAGTAACTATTTCATATATTAGCTTCGTGTAGCCATGTTTCCATTAGCAAAAGCTATATTTTAAAGCAGCTTGGATTTTTCACACAAACAGACTAAAATGACGAAGACATGATATAATTAGCATATTACTCGCGTTACTACTGCAAATATCATGTCGGAAAGTATGCAAGCTTTGTAAAGTGACACTTTTTTACAAAAGGATAAATTACTTCGCTTCTAGGGAAAGGGGTTGAGAAGACGGAGTATAACGGGGCTCGGTTGCGGACTGACGTAACGTGGTGACGGAATGTTCTTTCTGTTGAGGGTAACGGCCACGGTATGGGCTGACCAAAGATTTTGATGGCGGGAATGGAATTACCTTGCAAATTCTGGACGAGACGCTAGAAGTGGTGTCAGGAAGGCGATCCATTCTGAAGAGTATGGCTTTGCTTTCGTGGGGTTGATGTCAATGCACCACTTGGGGGACACTTGTGGGACGCACGGAATCCAAAGTGTTAGTCAATGTGAATGCCTTTGAAAGTAACAAAGTGCCAAAGACATTTACGAATCGGATGTTCATACGGTTTGACTATCGCAGGAAGGTAGCTAACGGGTGCGTTTTTCCACCAATAATGTAAGCTTCTTTCTACACCGCTTGAAAGATACGTTCATCACAGCGGCATTCAAAGTAGAGTAAAATTATTAGCGATGAAGCTCATCTTAAGTGAGTGTGGTAGGATGACTTCGAACAGGGAGAGATGATGGTATATCATGAGGCGCTTCAAATTTGCCTCTTCCAATGTTACATGACCACAATGACCACTTTGTCAAGAGTGTTACGAATGAGAGAAATAAGGTAACTCGCCCACGCGGGTGTTTATAGTATTTTAATTATATCTGTCGCCATGGGATGCCCTTTTAACGTGTTTTTTTATTTTTTTATTTTATTTTTTTTATTGCTTAGGTGGATGGGCGAGCTCACAGCCCACCTGGTGTTAAGTGGTTACTGGAGCCCATAGACATCTACAACGTAAATGCGCCACCCACCTCGAGATATAAGTTCTAAGATCCCAGTATAGTTACAACGGCTACCCCACCCTTCGAACCGAAACGCATTACTGCTTCACGGCGAAAATAGGCGGGGTGGTGGTACCTACCCGTGCGGACTCCCAAGAGGTCCTACCACCAGTGATTACGCAAATTATAATTTTGCGGGTTTGATTTTTATTACACGATGTTATTCCTTCACCGTGGAAGTCAATCGTGAACATTTGTTGAGTACGTATTTCATTAGAAAAATTGGTACCCGCCTGCGGGATTCGAACACCGGTGCATCGCTACATACGAATGCACCGGACGTCTTATCCTTTAGGCCACAACGACTTAAAACTGTGTACACTAAATACGTAAAATAATTGAGATGAGCAGATGAGTAAATCCGTGGATCGACGCAAAATATTGTCAGTTCTAAGAGCTATGTCACTTTGGACATAGGACAATATAACGCCTATGGTGAACAACTATTTTTCGTTGCAATATTGCACATGTCATTCACATTAATAACTTGGTTTGTTATTCGTTACTTTCAAAATAATATAATAAAAAAAGAACACAACAAAAGTCATTAGTAATTTAAAAAATATATTCATTCATTATTAAACTATCAAATTATTTTAGGCATATTAATTTAATAAAACACAGGACACAGGGATACATTATCTAATATATCTTCGTTGTTTCAGGTCCCGGTTGCCGATAAATCACCCGCCGCTTAAAACACAAAGGACGAAGCAAGAATTAAAAAAAGAAATAAGGAAAAGTCCCGGGCTATTTTTCTTCCGAGCCGGACCATCGTTTAGCTGGCTCTCATGAATATGACATCAGCGGACCGCGTGCTTGATTTATGCGGCCACGGCTATCCATCAACCTGACCGGGGTAACCTTAAAAGTCCACTTTCCCTTGTCGACGGACAACCTTTCTGTTCCAGCCGTGTTTGCGAATTGAGTATGCATGAAGTTTCGATCGGCGATTTATTAAATCTATGAGGTCGTGAGGTTTACTCACAGGTCGCTTTGAAGTTGCGTTATTTTAGTTTGTATAGCGATCAGGTGTTTTTAACAGTTCATATAATCAATGCACCTATAATCTGAAGTGAAGTCCGAACCGTGAAAGTGCTTAATTAACATCATGAAACGCAGACCTTTGCCGCCGGTCAGAGAAGAGACTACCGCAAATACGTGGAAGACTTTATGCGAGAATGACTGGGCCATTTACACTTTAGTCGCGTCAGTCGGTGCTTTGACATACGCAAATAGTTTGCATGGTGATTTTGTGCATGACGACATCCCGGCCATTGTTGGTAATGGTGACGTGAACGGTGGTAATAGTGTGTTAGGAGTGTTTGGGAATGACTTCTGGGGGACTCCGATGTCGGATGCAACAAGTCACAAATCGTACCGGCCGCTAACCACGCTGTCCTTTCGGTAAGTTATTTAAAATTTTCATTTAACTTTAGTCCTATAAAGGACATAGATGAGTGGCAGCATATCGATGTTTTTCAAATATCTATATATGAGCATACATAATATACAAATATAATGTAGCTTACGAAGTACATTCAGAAAACAAATTCGTTGATGCCAAGTCCAAACTAGTCATTATTTGTCGCCGAGTAGTTCTGCGAACCATATTGAATGGTCAGGTTATTTTTAAACAAATGTTTTGGAGTCCTCATAGAATTTGTACTTTCTCTTATATTTCGGGTTCAATACTGGGAATTCCTAGTATCAAGCTGTTGAGTGGGTGCTTTAATTTACTTAATTTTATCTTCTTATGAAAAGGCATGGAAAAGAAATTAGAAACAACTAGTGGATTCTATCGAATACAAAAAGCTATCAAAAAATCTGGCAGCTAATAAGTGGAGGTTTCGCATAAAAATAATCAAATCAATACGATTTCTATTCCATAATTCTTTGAATTATATAAGGACTAAAATAGTAATAAGTTTATTTTCTCGGAAAAAGGTATTTGAATAAAAACAAGACCATTTTGATGATCAAATACAAGTTTAGATTCGGAACTGTGTATGTAGTATATACTTTAGTTGGTTCCCAAATATTTAACTTTCAAATATATACGACACTTCGTGTGTGTTACGAAATTTTGGTTGAAAGGTTGTTGGACTGGACTTCAAATAATTATGCGGAATTCAATATGGCCCCTTATTTTTTTATTATTGCTCAGATGGGTGGACCAGCTAACAGCCCGCCTGGTGTGTTAAGTATAGGAGCCTATAAACATATACAACTTAAATGCCATCATCTACTTTGAGACATAAGTTCTAAGTCTCACAGAACAACGGCTGCCCCACCCTTCAAACTGAAGCACATTATAACTTTACGGTAGATATAGGCTAGATGGTGATATCTACCCGTGCATATTATGATTTTGCGAGTTTGACTTTTATAACTTAATGTCATTCCTTCATTGTAGAAATCGATCGCTTTCTAATGTATTTCATTAGAAAATTTTTGTACTTGCCTGTGAGATTCGAACGCTATTGCATTACTTGGTACGAATGTAGTGGGCGTCATATCTTTTAGGCCATTTTCCTGTGATTCGTTGCTTTGAAACGTTAAAAGCTTTTTATGCCATTAAATAAACATTGCTTTCTATATTCACAAAATTGTAAACTATGTATTCAAAACCATAGAAGTATTTTTAAGCTTATTATAAGAGCAGACAAAGAAAAGATTATCCACCAAACGGCTATTGTTTCAGTTGACTGATGCAGAGGATGGTTCTGATGCTGTTCAGCATTTATATATTTATAAAATGGTTTTGGAATTACCGTTTTTTTTTATTGCTGGGGGACGAGCTCAGAGCTAATGGTGTTAAGTGGTTACTGGAGCCCATAGACATCTATGACGTAAATGCGCCACCCATCTTGAGATATCAGTTCTAAGGTCTCAGTATAATTACAACGGCTGCCCCACCCTTCAAACCGAAATGCATTACTGCTTCACGGCAGAAATAGGCAGGGTGGTGGTACCGACCCGTGCGGACTCGCAAGAGGTCCTACCACCAGTAAATAATCGTTAGCGCGCTTGACGTATATGTCAGATTTCTTTGTGTGGTATTACTCCTATAGTTACCGCTACAATATCTATGACAACAAAGATACGTCTTAGTCACGCCATAGTTTCGCCTGTTTTAAATCCACTCAGTCCAGCTTTCGAGCTACTAGTAATCCTATCCTGTTCCTATCCTATCATGTTCTATTTATCCTCGTCTCGAGTGGAAGCAACAGGGTTGACGCCAACAGAAGCATGAAGCACTAAACAAATTATTCCGCAAGGACTGAGCGTGGCAGTTGACTTAACGGAAGGGTAGGTTCATGTGGTGTGATGTGTCTACCGTATGAAATACCTACTGTTATAGCATTTCATAATACTGCTTATAATAATCGCCGCTCCCCGTGATTGTGAATCTCACTTAAAAGGGAAAAATTAAGATTTATTTAATTGGTCATTATTGGAGCTTTATAGGTACTTTTATGAAACTTGTGGAGCTGTTTTTAACAATCGAAAACCAATTAAAGTTAAGATATAGAAATTGAATATTAATTATTAACGTACGAATTGGTATAAAAATTACGTAGTATTTAATTATATCGATTATATTGGGCAGCAGTGCTCTAGGTAATTTTTTTGCTACTTTTAAATTTTATAAATAGTATTTGCTTCAGTATTAATTCACTATCTTGGAAGAAAAGCTACTGATCACCTGATGTGTTGTGACAGCTATTTTTGGAGACTCGCAATGCTAAGGACAAAGCCAAGCCTATCAAATAGACTGGATACACAGTGGTCATACAGTTTCATTGCTTTACCAGCTGGCCACGAAGTCGAAGTTCTTCCGCTTTTCTCGTTTCCCTTCTACGGTATATAAAAAGTTCAAACGATGCCTCTATAAATATCGCCTGTCATCTAAATAGTTAGCCATCCATCAACTTTCGCTAAGACATACGCAGTTTTAGTCGAGAGCTGTTGTATCAAAATTAAGACAGGAAAAATAGTTTTTATATGAAAAACTATGTGATAAGTAAGGTTCAAGATTTTTTACTATATCCATTTTAGGCAGACGAGCATATAACCTACGCTACTAAATTTAAATAAACAAAATTTTATTACAATTTACAATTACCACTATTACTACTGCTACTACTAATACGGTAAGGACCAAAAACATGTAATAAAAATGTGAACCCTTTAAAAATATAAATTTACATAGTTACTGGTCACAGAAAAAATCGTCCAAGAAAAATATCTCGAATATAAAACTTCCACCGCACCTATTTCATTTTCAATAGATGTTTCACCACTGAATCGATAGCTGTGATTTGTGAAGGGCCATATCTGACCCCTATGCAAATGGAGCTACGTCGGTGACGCGGCGGTTACAACAGAAATATCCGCGATAGAGTTACAGCTCTTTGTAATGCTACTGAACGTTTCAGCTATACGCGGGTCGGATATTTCCATTGTATTATATTCGAATAGATAAGGTGTACCTTTTTTCTGTCCCATTTTCACGTTTAGTTACATTATTTTGTTTATTTTTTGTAGCCTACGAAAAAAATCGGTTGTCTGTAAAGTCGGTTTACTGAAGATAGTTGAACGTGACAACGTCATAAGAAAATACTGATGGAAAGGTTTCATTTTTTAATTATCGAAAACATGTAAATGTATTATTGTATAGCAGCTGCCCACGCAGATGCATCGCTCACTCAAGTAGGAGAGAGACAGATGTCGAACGCTGCCGAACGCGGAGGCAGATTGTGCTTCTTTGTCGCTCGTTGCGCGCTCTCGCTTGCACTTCAAGCCTTAAATGGAACGCCTCAGAGCGAGGTAACGCCGCATGAGTCATGTTTATTCGTGCGTGCAGCCGGCTCCATCGAATTATAAGACGTTGTCATCTCAAAAACCCAGGAGTCAATTCAATTGTTGACTTTATTGCATATTTTAACAAGGCACAACTTGTCAGCAAGAATTGACAGAATTAAAGCTTAATAAAAATCATTGGTTAAAGCGTCGGTAGCTTTACAATAGCCCTAGATAATTATGTAATTATGTCGCGTACTGTTTGTCTGCATAGTCGTTCCAAAGCGTCATGCCTTGCACATTGAATATCGGAATACACGTAGCCCCATGTAATGTAAACTTCAATCATTGTTCGAGATTGCCGCCAGCATTTACAGTATAGGGTTTCGTAGTATTCGATAGCATCAGGAAAACTGAAAGTTAATTGGTACGACTATTTCACGTTTAAAACGAGATTATAGAGATTCAAGTTACAAGGGTAGCTGTGCGAAGGTCGTTAGTGAATCGCAGCGCACTGATGACAAAGTGATGGATTTGTGTTACAAATTTGGTTTTGTAACACTACCTAAAAAGAATTTGAGATTTTTGCGTGTTATCAATTGTTCACGATTGACTTCCACGGTGAAGGAATAACATCGTGTAATAAAAATTAAAACCGCAAAATTATAATTTGCGTAATTACTGGTGGTAGGACCTCTTGTGAGTCCGCAAGGGTAGGTACCACCGCCCCGCCTATTTCTGCCGTGAAGCAGTATTGCGTTTCGGCTTGAAGGGTGGGGCAGCCGTTTTAACTATACTGAGACCTTAGAACTTATATCTCAAGGTGTGTGGCGCATTTACGCTTTAGATGTCTATGGGTTCCAGTAACCACTTAACATCAGGTGGGCTGTGATCTTGTCCATACATCTAGGCAAAAAAAAATATTTTTTTTTGTCATATATTAAATTCTTGATTGTACTTATTCTAATATTCGATTCTTGACTTAGAGCAGTGCTTTTAAACAGGTAGACAAAGGTAACGGAAACCACTTACTTCGAATCTAAAATAAACAACGGAGAAGTATTAACATACAGAACAACTATTCAGAAAATAACATTTAAAATGAATGTTTAGCTTCATCAATCAATCTTTGTTTGACTTGTACCTTATTCGCGGTCAGCCCTCCTTGAATCCTCCATACTATAACGGTACTACTGGAGAACGGTTATAAAGGAAGAGTTATAAACCATTATAAAGTTAAATTCAAAATTTAAACCATCACAATTGCTATATCATATTTTCTAAATAGAATAGAATAGACAGGGGATATATAATTTGGACTATTCAATTTGACAATGATGTTGTAGGATAGCATAGATATTAACGACTCACTATCAGGTGGGCTGTATGCTCATCTGTCTACAAGGGTAATAAAAAAAGCATCATTTATTGATATATTAGAAGAAGCTTGAGAAGTACTCGCGCTAGCAATAACTTGAGGCAATCTCGCGTAATGAGAATGTTTTGATACGAAATGTAAGGGCGTATCTTGAACTCTCCACAACTCACAAGTCGGTCTGCAGAACAAAAACGTCCCTTCGATGGAAGATCTTCCCTCTACA